TGCCTTTTTCAGTACATTTTTGACTTAATAAATCTTAAACTACTTTGGCTCAGAGCTGATGTATATTCTGACGTTAGATAGGAGTGTTTTATCTTTGATTTTTGGCCTCAAATATGGGTTCATTCTGGAAAGATGATGATACTTATCTGCTGTGTTGTTGATTCATACCTTTCTTCCAAAAAATGTGAGCTGTAACAAATGGCCAGAAACTCTTGAGGTGTGGTGGAGAGTGTTCCGGAGAAGTCATTTCAAACAACAGCTGATGACCTCAGATGTGTATGGGGAAAGTGATTATATTATGGCATGTACTCAAATGGACATCAGTCCTTAGTCTATAGCCATGGGGTCTGGACATCTCTTGCCGTACTCCTAAGGAAAGCAGTTAAGATAGATCCAGCAGATCTTTTTGTTTCCTAAAGGCAGAGCCTCAAGGGCACACTCTTGAGCTGCAGAGGAGGCCACTGGAGCCAAGAAAGCCTGGAAAGAGTCAAGAAAAACTGTGAAACAGTGGAACCTCTGTAACAGATTTAGTATAGACAAGAGCCATCCATGGGGAGTTGTGGGGAAGGTCCAAGGCTGGCAAATCTGCTCAGGCCTCCAAAGAGAGGAGAATGAAGCCATGGTGCTGGGAGCATGTGGTTTGAAGAGGTTCCCTGGGAAGCCAGGGAAGACTTTGTAGTAAACAGTTAATCTTGAATATTAGACAGGGCTTATGTCCACTCCAGCAGCAAGTTCATGCTGTTCATCTCAGGCAGGTCAAAGGGGAAGCAGGATTGCAAGGTGGAGAAAACCATTTTCCCTCACTCCTTGTGGCTGGGCATTCACCTTCAAATGACATTGGTAAAATGAGACAGGCTGTAATTCATTTCTAATGCCAGCATTGAGGGAAAAAAATGCACAGTGCTCATGACAGAGCTCAGTACATAATGCACAGCAAGATGGGCTGATTAAAGGACACTGGCTGGTCACCGTGAAGCCAAGAAGGAACTTAATCTGCCTTTAAAATAAACAAATTCAAAGAGACATTTGCTCCTTTCATTTTTAGAACGAGACATGTTATTCACACTTACGTCAGCTTTTTTCTCTCTATTTTAAGGTGGTCTGTTTAGCCTAATAAAAAGCGGGGGGGATGGTGGTGGTGGAGGATTGGAAGTCCAATCCAAATGATGGTCAGGAAAGGAATAGTTTACTCTTGGTTGTCTATAAGCGCTTAGAAGAAACTAACCCTGCAGAAAAGTGAGGCAGAGTTGGGGAATTGCCCAAGTCACTGGAGGTTACTGCAGTTTCTCAACATGGAGACAGGAACAAGTCCAGGAAAGGAAATCTCTTCACACCCTGTCACCTGCTCTGTCAGCCTGTTGCATCCTGAGTAGTTAAGTTTCAGAACTTTAATGGTTTTGCTATAAAAATGTACTCATCTGGAACTGATAAGTAAATCTTAGGATAGAACAATGACCTTTAGTACAGAAAAGAACAGAAAATCTCTTGTGGGAAATTTGTTTCTGATTTGGAGTCTGAATAAAGGCTGAAGATGTGTTTTGCTTTGTCTGGCCTCAGTATAGGTAGATATCTATGGGATATTGAACAGGCAGAAAATACTGAAGAACTGAATGGAACTCTTCTAAATTCTGTGATCTCTTTGGTCCCCCGAGACTAAAATTTATAGAAACAACTTCTGTAATGAGGTAGCTGTTCCTTTTTTATTTAATTGGTTTTCTTCAGTTTAAGGGCTAACCATCCAATGATAAAAAGAGCTTAAGAGTTTTCTTGGGTGAGGGAGGGAGGTATTATTTTAAAGTATGAATTCAGTTGGTCAAAATTTCTTTTGCTTAGTTGAAAATGATTTTTGTAATTATTTAACTGTCTGGCACATTTAAGGAGTTTTGTTTCGGGTTTTTTTTGATTTGCAAACAGGTTTTTTTTTTTCGCCTTGCATGTGGAAGACAGGTATATAATCACTTCAGTTCAAAATCAAGTAATTGCTTAGTCTTTGTAAAAGAAACTGATTAATAGACACTAGATGCAGAAAACTATTCCATAGAGTGGCTGGCTTGAAACAATGGATTGTTTGAAGAAATTCCAAAACAAAGGGCTTTCAAGCTACAGCTGGAAAGTTCACAATCCTGCAGTTTGGTTTTGCACAGTTACGTTCATACATCCTCCATCTCTCAAGGCAATTACAGTGTAAGAGTTGCTTTGGTTTGCTGGGGGACTGATCACTCGTGAGTCGATAGCCCATTCACAGCTACATGTATAGGCCAAAGTGGTAACTCACTTGAGGACATTTTGTGCACAGTTTTAAAATAATTTGGTAGGCATAGACTCTGAATTACACTTGTAAATTATGAACTTGCATTATTGTTCTGAGCGTTAGCCAAATTTTTTCACTTTTATTGTTTTGCTTGTGACAAACGCAGTTGGTGATAAATGATAATAACCCAAGTAAGTACATCGTGTTCAGGCATCAAACCTGTTCTTGTTCTATTTTAAGGGACTAAAAGCATGCACATAGGCCCTTGTGTTGTTGTCCCCCCCCACCTTTGTTTTTTAAATGTGATTGGAACATCGGGGTAGGATTCAGAAATATAATAATAACTCATTCCTTGGGCATCCAGTTTGTGTATTGAAAATGAGGCTTTGATGGACTTTGGAGAGTAAAAAAAACCAGTCTAGCAGTCAACTGCATTACCAGTATGCAGTGCTACTGAACTCAGGCTTTGAGGAAGTTACAGTGATCCTCTTCCTTCCCCTTGAATACATCCCAGGGCTTCTTAGCCTCTGTGTAGGCACTCATGTTTGGGGCAGTGCCTGCTCTTCTGCTGGTTGTTGGAAGCAGTAGTAGTGGTAGTTGGTGCAGGGATAAGACATTTTTCCCCTGTAAGTGCAGGCATTGCTTTTCATTTCAGGTGACTTTGTTTCCATGTTAAAACTGCTTGTTGGGTCGTGTTTGTACTTTGATATATTTATTCAGCGGTTAATGAAAATTCCCAGGAAATCATCAAAGAGTTTCTAAAATTATACATGAATCTTCTAATTCTGTTTTGTTCAAAATAATTTTTGCCATATGGCACCAGTTCTTTATGTACATTTTTGGTATCCTTTTCCTTTTTATTTTTATGACTAAATGTGCATGTGTTGAAAGGTTTTTCTAATGTAATCTGGTGGTGTTTTTCACCCTTCAAATCCTGTTGGAGGTTCTGTGATTATTACCACAGTCACATCTGATGAATCCCACTTTAGAGGGATGGACAGGCAGCAGGAGGGGATGGAATGGTAATGGATGAGAAAATCTTGCCATCTTATAAGAATTGCATGCCATTTATTAATTTAAGAAAAGCTTGTTAAAAAAAAAGCTATATTTGCATGTGATTCTCAATCTCCAAGCATGTCCTAGGAGTTGATGTTTCCTAATGCATCACACTGAGGGTATGGAGATGTCTGTGGCTGAATCCTAGCTCAACACAGGGCGTGTTCAGATGGTGGAAGTGATGCTCTGTGTTCTGCTGAGAGGACGTGCTGGCTGGTGTCTCTGGGAGAGGTCCAGGCTGGTGAGAGGCACTGGGGGCAGTGCCATGGGCACGGAGAACGTGCTGTGCAGGATGTGCTTGTGAGCAGGCTGGGGAACTGGGAGCTACCGGCTGCATCTGTGTGATCGGGAGAGCCCAGGGTGACAGCGACAAACTGACTGAGCAGGAGCAGCCAAGCTGGCTGCCTGCAAGAGCTCTTGTACCCTGAGGACTCTCCATGAATGATCAGGGTATGCCCACATCATTTGTAATGCACCCTGAGCGTTGTCAGCTGCCTGACACCATCACTGGGGTTTGAATTCCTTCTCCTGTTGGAATTATTATCTTCTCTCTAATGATGCAATGTGTTATGAATATTCAGTGTTTCGGTGAACTCGGGTTCTCAAAAGTCTGTGAACCAGGTAATGAACCACGATGTTAGACTGCTGTCCTGCCCCTGGGGAATGGAAGTTGTGTACAAAATGGTTCTTGCTTTTTAATTTGTGACTCCAACAGAGACAGTGCAACGACAGCCATCCGTAGCTCTTGTAAGGAGTGCTGTTTCCTGTATATTTGCACAAAGTGCTCTTCATCCTGCAGAAATGGTACACAAGGGCAGCAGACCATGGCACCCACCCTTAAAGGGGTGCTGGGGCTGAAGTGGGCAGTAAGCAGCTTTCACCTTCTGTCCTCCCTGGGACTGGAAATGCGGCCCCACCTTTGAGAAGTGCCCACTAAACCACTCTGTGGGTCTTCTACACAAAGACAACTTTCTAGTATGAGACATGTTGTTTGTTAGAACTTTTTTTTGGCAGAAATGCCATTTGAAAACCTCAGCAGTCATCCTTATTATGAGGACTCTGCTCTGCCGTGCTGGAATCTGTCCTGTGAGAATGAGTACTTTTGGGCTGTTTTCCTTAATACGTGTTTTGAACAAACATATAATCTGTGTATAAAGTTATGACTTGGGGAATGTATTTTTACAGTTTGTCTGCTGTCCTATAACCAACAGAGCATTCATTTGGTTGTAAAACCTTTTAAAGTCATCCCAAGAGAACTGGTATCTAACTGCTTGTCCCATGGTTTGCAGTAGAATCTCTCAACTGTTTGTGTAACATGCTTTGTGATGTAATTTCTCCAATAAGGTGCAGACTGTTTGAGCTGACAGACATCTTTTTGAAGTATGGTTTCCAGAAAACATGATCCTAGTTGTTAGTTGGTTTCTTCAACCTTGCAATTTGGCATATACTTAAGAGCTTTGCAATAGTTTATATGATGGAACCTGAACATGCAATAAAAGTTATTTATCAACATTTGACTAAAGAATTATGTTCACTTAATTCAGATCTTATCTATACACACGGATTCTTCCCATGTTGATGCAATAGTGATAGTTGAATTTAATAACACCCTGGTTTAAGTAGCCTCTGTGCTTAAAATAACTTACGTCTGTTTTATTTTCCCTTTCAGCTCCAGTTCAGACATTCTGAGAGATCTGGAAGAGGCTGAGATTCGTTCAGCATCCTCTGACAAGTAAGTAGAATAGGAGTGGTAAAGTCCTGATGACTGATTTAGGTCATTAGTTTCCAGTCTGTGGAATCCTACATGTTTCTGCAGGACAAGCAAATGCCTCTGAAGGGTCAGGTTCCACGGTTGTGTGAGACACAGTTCAGTCAGCATTTTTAGATCCCTGGAAAATAGTACCAGGGTGCTCCAAGGGTCCAGTTGAGTCTGGATCAGTTGACAAGTTGAAAATTGTTGTTCTAAAGTATATTTGAGTATGAATATCTATTTAAAAAATGAGGGAACTGATTTTTATGGAAAATTAAAAGAATCTGATCATACTGTATTTAAAGTTATAGTTTTCTATAAGGATTCATTGCAGCCCCTTTTATTGATGAAAAACTTAGGTTTTCCTGATTCTGTGCTTCCTGTAGGAGGATATTTAACATACTTCTAATGAGATTTTTGATTGTTCATGTAATGCTTTGAATATATGGCAGGGAAGTCAGAACTAGATGATCTTAAGGTCCTTTCCATCTCTAATTATTCTATGATCTAGCGTTAATTTTCTAGGTAGTAACTAGTTGTTGTGGTTTAAGCCCAGCCGGCAACTTGGAACCACGTGGCCGCTCGCTCACTACCCCCCTTCCTTCCTCCCCCAGCTGC